CTTGAGGTAATTTTCTTTTTATATCCTAGTTATTCATTAATTAGGGTTATTATTTGTGTTTTTCTTAACCTCATCAGATTTTACATCATATTAAGTTAATCAGTATGCTAACAGCATGTATGTGCTTGTAAGATAGTGTTGAGCATAAGCATTTAAGCGCATCGCATTCGTGTATTTATTTCATTCGTTTTTTTTATTGTTACTAATGTATTATCTCTAATATTACATTTATTTTATGAATTTGAGGTGTAATGACATAAAATCAGAACCTATTGATCATAATGAGCTCAGAACCAGTAAAAATTCCCCTACCGTCAAGTCCAGTCGTAGCTACAACGAGGTTTCTTTTCTCTTTGATATCACATTTTGTATTATTTTATTTTATTCCGTAAAAAGATTCCCTGATTTTATGTTTGCGTAATCAGCACGCGTAACTGTATGTTCACTTCATTGAAGATCTCGTAAACGTGAAAAAAAAAATTGAAAATTTTGATGTTCTGATCGCTGTTTTTAGTATTAAAAAATGTAACGTCAAAGAATTTTGCTTGAAATCCTGGATTCTTTGCTGGTCGAAATTTGGCCTCAATATTGAGCTCGAAACTTGTTATCCTCAAGTAGATTGTTTTCGGAAAGTTAAGTTATAGATTCATGAACATGTGAAATTTCAGTTGGTTACCATGGGATTCTGGGTTGGGGAGTGCTGTTTGGTTGTGTGCTTTGGCGAATTTCATCAATAGTGCTGATCGAGTGATTATGCCGATCGCCATCGGAGGTCTATCTTCGGATTACGAATACAGTTTAGTTCAACAAGGATGGATTCTGAGTGCATTTCCAGCTGGTTATATTAGTTCGCAGGTGAGATATTCATCTCTTTTTCGAAGCTTGATGACATTACTTCAGTCAGTTCATCTGTTATATTTGTTAAAATTTTACTATGTAAAAAATTATCTGTTTTATTTATTATATAAACGATTGATGATCATTTCGTTATATTCATCTATTATATTTATCGCTGATTTATTGTGCACCCTATTGTCATGAATCGGAATTTCTCGATTGAAAGAATAGATTATCGAAAGTGTCGTCTTCAGTGAGAAGATTCTTTGGATTTGTGCTTAAGATCATTCACTTTTGCGGTGATGTAATGATATTGGCTGAAATTTGATAAGTGTAAAATGAAATCTGAAATGATCGATAGGTTTGCAGATAATCGGAAGTTGTGCAGGTTCACAACTCGGTGGTCGTCGTCTCCTATTGGGTGTGGTACTTCTGTGGTCGTTGAGTACATTGCTGACACCCTTTGTGGCATCATCGTTTTATATGCTCATTTTCACGCGGATCGTTTTGGGCTTAGGTGAAGGTCTTGGTGAGTGATATTGAATCGCTATTTTCATTTAACTCAGCTTTATGTTCGTATTGAATTTTGTTGGTATTGAAGAGAAATTTAGCGTTATTCATTGCGCTCAGTCATTTTAGGTCTGCCAACAATGTATCATATTTTGGCCGAGTCGGCACCACCTCGGCAACGATCCGCAACATTCGCGTATCTATCGGCAGCTGGCTCTATCGGTCAAACAGTTGCTTCACTGGTATGTCTTTAGAGATAGTGTTTTTGATTCATGCGGAATGTGGTTTATAACTCTTGTAAATTTTAATAACGTCTTCAGTAAATTTTTGCAATATATTGATGTAATGGTATGTTATTTTACTACTCTTAAAATATTATTTTGCCTAGGTAGAAGGCGTACCGTGAACGTTTCTAAATGATTTGCAAACGAAATGATCAAATGTGATTACATTTCTTTATCTTATGTTTTGTTTCGACAACTTTTGGAAGTGAAAATTGTTAGGTGAATACCCGAATATTTAAAATAAATGCTGTTTGCATTTCATTCAGATTTGTCCACATCTTGCGTGGGAAATGTGTTTTTACGTGTTCGGTATAATGGGTTTATACTGGTGTATTTTGTGGTTACGTTCGAATGTTGGTGTGAAACCGTTAACGAGTTCTGATCAAATGCTACTTTTTCAAAAGGTAATATAACAATTTGAAAATTTCGTGAATGAATTAATTTTCCTTACTTTTGTTCAATTTCATTCGTATCTTCCTTATTCATTGGATAATTTAATGTTTTACAGTAGGGAATTATCTATTCCTTTTGTCATTTCACCGGTTTTGAGTAATGTCAGAAATTGATAATATGCAGAAATAGTAATAAGCTTAGCTAGTTCGTTATCAAACAGTTCGTTCCAATAGCATTTCTTGATTTCGCCAGGCAGAATGATTCTCTTTACGTATGTGGGAGAGATGATTTCAGAAGGGATAGTCTGAAAATGTGGTTAAGAGTGAGATTTATTTCAGATGCGTAATCCACTGCGCTCATGGGATCGTTTCATTTGTCTGTCACCATTGCTGGCCATATATTTCGCTCATTTTTGTATGAATTGGACAGCGTATG